CGAGTCGCTATCCACTGCACTCTTCTTATACCCATTATATAAACCAATGTGTGTGTCTCAACAGCTGTTCTGATGCATCTAGTGTGGTAGTCTGCAGTCGTAGTGCTTGACGCTTCTCGCTTTCAGTTACCGCCGCTGGCTAGCAGCTATGCGCAAAGCGGGGCCGAGTGCGTAAGTCTTCCCCCTCCAGTATATAGCCTCTCCATCAGAAAGCCCTATGTAGTACCTCATCGTGGCGACACATGGCAACCGAGCACCTTGCGGACTCGGGCTAAACTACAGGGGACGGAGGAAAGGTGACCCCCCTTAACATGCGGCATGCAAGCCCACCGGTGTGTGGAAACGCCCTGGTGTCCATGAACCAAACCCCCAGTTATGGGTTAAATAGCTCCACTGCCTTGTGGAAATCTTCGGGAGAAGAAAAGGCTAAGAAGTAAACCCTACACAAACCCGGATTGGATCCGCTAAGGCGGATGGACGGCATTTTGTGCTACTTTCCGGCAACTCCTGCAGCCGCGCTGGTACCAAATTGTATTGGTTCATCCTCTCCTTTGAACTGTTCTAGCAAGGCTGAGAGCAGAGAACTAGACGCCCGAGCAGCCCTAGTTCTCCATACATCTCGCCCAGGCTCGTAGCGCACTAGAGAGGATGCGATGTAACTCCATCGCCTAGCACCTACAGCGATACCCCATCGTCTCTCGAGACGGACGGATGCCGACAACGACGACAACAATAAACCAATAAGCCTATATCTAAATACCGTCTGTGAAATTCACTGAAAAATGCTATGTACGTTTGTTTAAACCGGGTATAACTTGTTTCATGTGTAACTATATCAGAAATAAAAAAGAGACGGCTAAATAGTACTTTGTCATTATTACGTGACTAAAAAAAAAGGCAGTTATTAAGATGATATGTGGTAAAGTTTAGTCTTAGTGTTAAACTATGCAGCGTTGAATGGCGTCGCACGTTACTTGATTTGGCATCGTTTATATCTTTGGCGCCATCTTGGATATGGCTGCCCTGCAGAGAATGTGATTATCTCTGATTTCAAAACCAGTGCCGCCATCTTAAATTATGTGAGCTGCGTCAAAGTCGAGGAGTCTATATGGAATCAAAACAAACAGCAGCGCGCAAAAATAACAGATTTAAAAAAAAAAAATGTTTTCTCTTTTCTTTCTGTCAAGGAAAGTGCTGGAAAAAATGCGATGTTATCTAGGGAAAAGATATTTAAAAATTGAGCACTGACTGATTCAACAAAAGCAAACGACTTTCGCAATCACGCTTGCTTTCTGGCGAAAGATTAGAGTTAAGCAACGTTTGGCATGCTCAATGTTAAGAGGGAGACGGAAGTAAATTAACAAGAACGAAATATTTTTTAAAAATTGTGCGGTGTATCTGTTTTGTCCGCCATTTTTTTTTTAAATCCCTTGTAAATTCTGGACATAACTATCGTATTTGACAGCACATAAGGCGCGCTTTTTTTTAATAAAAATATTTTTCAAAATTTCCCTGCGTCTTATATGTCATATGTAGGTCTGAAATCATCTTAATATTTTTTTTTTACTTATGAACGTATATATTTCTTTCAATTTTGGTATGTTTGGTCGATGTATTTTCGTGGATATTATGTACAATGTTGTATTTGCTCGACTCCTGCCTCTAATGTAATCTGTAAAGTTATAATCATTCAATGTAAAACCGTGACTTAAATGTTTTTGGAGTGTTTGGGATTAAAGACACACTCAGTGATATTTATTGTTTAAAAATACCAACGAAAGTTCCCACTTAAATTTTTTGATTAAAAAAAAATCAACTACGAACTTTCGTTGTTATTTACCCTAACTCTGACGAAATAAACCCCATAAGTCTAGGCGAGGATATTCTTCTTTGAACCTTGTGGACTGGCGCTACACAATCATAAACAAAGAAATATACCAAATAGCAGAAACAACCTCAATTGAGGACTTTCAACAACAGTAACAACTAAAATAGTTAACATGTGTAACTTGAAAATAAAATAATGACTTAATCAAAATGCTGACATTCAACACGACCTCAAATAAAAGATCAGGAAGGAAACCCCCATGAGTACTGTAAAGAACTATAACAGTTACTGGACTTGAGAACCTGTTTTTATGAAAATTTCTTTTAATAGAGAGATTTCATAACCTCTTATATGGTAGCAAACAACCCACATCCCCTCTGTATTCCATCATGAGGATTAACTTCTACTTGAACAGCTTCCTCTGCAAACCACTGCCATGTGGAACTGACTCCCAAGGGGATGTTTCCTCGATTACTACAATCTTAGCCTGTTTAATGCTAGGGCTAATTGTTCTCCTCTACTTCTATACACACAAGTGGCCCCCTAACGTAATCCTCTACCTCGAGTGGTCCCCGGGGTGTTGCAAAGGGTGAACCTTACTGTAAAAAAAGAATGGATACAAAACACACGCAAGTTCAATTTATTCAAATCTTAGATCGTTTGAAAAGTAACTAAAAAGTCAACTTTGATCTACAAAAACTTAAATTCCATATCAATCTTTTTCTTATGCCTTTTTAATTCCTGTTCTTTTATTGTTCTCTCTCCTTAATAATGTTTTTTTTTTTTATATCCTCTCAGTAAGTTTTAGTGGCTTTATTATCTTGCTTTGGTGAAAGCATTATATAAAAACATATTGCCGGAAGTCTATTGTCGAAAGTAGCGGTTCTTGGGATAAAGCTGTCCGAATTCAACTTCTTCCTTACCAATGGAATTCAAAGAGAATATGGATGATTTATCCCAGTTTACGTGGGTGACATGGTGGATCTTAGCTGGGAATGCATGAACTAGTACAACTAATGAATGCAGCTCGTTAGATAATCTGCAATGGAAATAGTAACAAAGTAATGAGAGGCTTACGACGTTTCATCCATAGGAAAGGGTTTCGACTTCCAGTCATCGTTGATGATTTTGTGGACACGCTATAACGACTCTGCTGTACATACAACGCCTAACCGCTTATTATGTTCCTTTCTCACGACTACAGACGGCATGTCTCCGACAGAGACCTCCGGTTTGCTTATTATCTTAAAGCGTCCGGCTTATTGATTGATTTGTTTGATTCGTTTGTTTAACGACATGTCAACACCTTTATGGGTCAGTTAATGCCGAAATTTAATTTAAGTAGTAAAAATATGATGTATGTTATTCTGCTTTCACAGTTGAATACATGGTAGATGATACTCAGCTTTTGGGCATATACATGTTTGTGTGGACATGATTGCTGGAGGCGGTGATTTGTGTAGCGAATGTTTAATTTTTTAAGTTATATTTTAAAATTTCTTTAAGAAATTCTAAAATATATGGATTAATATTATGATAGAGATTTTCGAATTGATTGGTTGATTGATTTTCTTTAGCAGCATATCAACACTTATATAGGTCATTTAATGGCGAAATCTAAACATTTTGAATACAATTTTATGGTTTCAACTAATGTTGTGGACCCAGAATAGGTCCGAAAGAAAACTTGAACTCAGCAATTCAGTGAAAAAGTATTACTAACAAAAAGAATGAATACAGAAGTGTTGCACGTCAGTCTGACGGCTAAGTACAGTAGTCAACAATATTTAACAGTCCCCCCACGAGGAATGTATGTGGCACAAGGCCGAGTTTAATGTGAGTTTCTCCGACCCCTTAGGCTCGGCCAAAAAATATACCCTTTGAACCTGCCTAGACGGGTTCAGGGCCTGTCTACTGTTAGACATTTTCATGACGGTCGTCCTCGAGTATAGAATCCAGAGGTTGGCAGTGAATATTTCGGAGACAGTAGGAAAGCATAGTGGAGGTTCGCAGTGGATATCGCAGCAAGGTAGCAGAGCGTAGTTCTTCCGTCTGTCCTGTTCGCCGGACAAGTTGCCTCTGGTCAGGTTGGTAGGAAAACAAAGATGGCCGCCTTTATACACGGCGGATACAGTGTTGTGTGGCTTCTGATTGGTCAACCTTCTATTGGTAGACTATAAAGGGAAATAAGTCATTCTGACTCGCTCACTAGTTACATATATACACATATACCCAAAAAACCGTAACATCTACCTCCCCGGAATGTACTGTAGTCAACTCGTCCACAGTCCTCTTGCGAGGCATAATATAGTCATAAGACGAGTCTATTTTTTTCATGAAGGTAGGTCCCCATAACAACTAAATATATTTTGAACGCAATGGTATGCCTTCGACTACAGATAAAATGTATTGTTGGTCATTTTGCTATAAATATGTATTGTTGGTAATGTGTTTATATAAAAATGTATTGCAGGTATTTTTACTATAAAATGTATTTTTATACATTCATAGTATTTTCTTTTTGTTTGAGGCTTCACTATTTGCGCATAGGTGGGACCCTAACTGTAGCTACCACCCCGGGTTAGAGTGGATCTGAGAACAACAGCAATTAAAACATGATTCCAGGCTTCTCGAAACCTCCAACTACCAGATCAGAGGCCTTGCTGCCGGATGTAGTTTATCGTCATACCACGGACTCACCTCTCGAATTCTTTCTCATCTTAAATACGAAGATTCCAACTATTTCCAAGCAAATAGCTACTCCAAATCACTGGCTGGCAGCTGACGGCTAGAGCTACGGGCACTGTGAATTTCTTTCACTTCCTGTCCCAGAATGAAAACTACCATGTTAATGCCCTCGATACGTCTGGAAAAGAAATGAGAATGTTGAGATTTGTCGCATATCTTATGACATTAAGTGAAGTCGTCTTACATTTATGACCCTTAAAATACGGGTTATCAACTTGTACATCGGGGTGGCGAAGAGGAGAATGTGAAGAATGGACAGAAACGGCGAGGAGGCTATCCAAAAGTTTCAGGAATTCAGAAGAGAAGAAATGACAGGAAATCAAATCAATTTCATGTGAAAGAAATGGGTACAGGCACTAGGAAACGTTGGGTAACGTGTCAGATAGACAGGGAAATCAATCTTTTTAAACATTTGCACAGAACCTTATCTGAATACGGTTAGATAGATAGATAGATAGATAGATAGATAGATAGATAGATAGATAGATAAGATGAGCCGAGATAGACTGATCCGATAGATAGATAGATAGATAGATAGATAGATAGATAAGACTGAGCCGAGATAGATAGATAGATAGATAGATAGATATGACTTAGACGAGTTAGACAGATAGATAGATAGATAGATAGATAGATAGATATGACTTAGACGAGCTAGATAGATAGATAGATAGATAGATAGATAGATAGATAGATATGACATAGACGAGATAGATAGATAGATAAGACTGAGCCGAGATAGATAGATAGATAGATAGATATGACTTAGACGTGTTAGATAGATAGATAGATAGATAGATAGATAGATAGATAGATAGATAGATAGATATGAATTAAGCAAGCTTAGACTGAAAGAAGGAAACGAGATAGATAGGAAGTGAGAGAAAGGTATGCAGACATGGAAAGCAGGCAAGATAAAATGAGTGAAAGTGACTTAGACAGAGAGAGAGGGAGAGAGAGGAGGTGCAAACTTACAAAGAAAGAAAGAAAGAAAGAAAAAAAAGAAAGAAAGAAAGAAAGGAAGAATATAATAAAGAAGGAAACTGATATAGATAGATAGATAGATAGATAGATAGATAGATAGATAGTGCTGTAGCATATCTACAGACGATAATGTGTATGTCCCCATTCGCATAAATACAGTAGTAAATACTGTATGATGGTCTGTTTTTGGATATTCGTCTCCAGCTTTGCTGGTCAAACTCTCCGCTTCCGGGCAGAGATGATCCCCAGGCAAGGCTATGTCGACGGGCAGAGTCTCGTCTCGGGAAACAGCTACACGACCTCGTTTTATAGGGGTCTACAGGAAATGTTTGGACGAGCCTGCGGGCTCGGATACCCCATATTAAACTCGGCCCTGTGCCACATCTGACCGCGTGGGTCGGTTGGTAGATATCCTGCAGTTGGAGATTCATTGTGGAATTCCCTTCACTCACTTCTAGCAGTTGACTACTTCTTCTACGCACCGCTGTCTAATCTCATATGTGTTGTTCTTGTCCTAAGTTTTATCGTTCATTACCAACCTTCGTGTGATTATTCTATTCAGTAACCTTCCCTAGGTTACAATAGATGAATAGATAGATAGATGAATGAATAGATGAAACACGATGAAAGACACGAAGAAAGATAGATAGATGACTGAGATGAATAGATGAATGAATAGATAATAAAACACAAAGAAAGAAAGAAGAAAGAAAGAAAGAAAGAAAAAAGAAAGAAAGAAAACTGGAAACAGATAGATGTATAAATAAATAGATAGATACATATCGACTGACATAGGTATATAGATAAAACACAAAAGAAAAGAAAGAAAGAAAGAAAGAAAGAAAGAGACGGGCATAGATATATAAATAAAAACAAAGAAAGAAAAACAAAGAAAGTAAGAAAAAAAGAAAGACTCACAAACAGATAGATATATAACTAGAGAGATACATATAGACTGACATAGATATATAAATAAAACAAAAGAAAAAAAAAGAAAGAAACTGAAACTGATAGATAGATAGATAGATAGATAGATAGATAGATAGATAGATAGATAGATACAGAGTGAGATAGAGAGACAGCCCGCTTAAATATATATTGTTCAGAAATATGGTATTTCCGTAAAGGGTTTTCAAGACGCATAAAGGTGTTTCTCATGCTGCCTGACCCGATAATGAATTAAAACCGACAAAAATAAAACTATTTCTTCAGTCGTCCATTAGCTTCGTGTCCAACTTCTCTTCGTCATCGTTTGCAAATGAAATCTTCGAAATGTCTTCAGAGTTAATTCGGCTCTTTACCGCCCGTGCAATCAATCATCTGGAGTCAGTCAGCGGAAAATTTCCGAATATCGGAAAATACGTTCTGCTTGAACTTGTGAAAAAGAACTCTGGACAATGTTAAACTATTTTTATTTTTCTTCCAGTCCCAGAGAAAATTTAATTTTTGCCCAATATTGTCAGAGACTCGACTTGAACGCAATCAATTGATGGTATGGTTCTTCTCCCTGCTTGGTTGGATTCTAAAAGTTGTATTTTATTATGAATTGCTGGAGTCTAGACGAATTGTTAGCGCGCAATGATACAGTTACCAATTGGTTTGTTTCTATAAACGACGCCTTGAAATAGAAAAGACCTTCAACGATGCTTTGCAATCGAAAAAGAAAAAACACTTCAAAGTTTCTTAGTGGCTTCTTTCTTTCCTTTCTTCTTCTTCTCCTCCTCCTCCCCCTTCTTCTTCTTCTTCTTCTTCTCCTTCTTCTTCTAAGGTTAGAAATGGGCATCATGACGTTTTCCACTGCAAAAAAAAAAAGAAAAGTTTACATAGAAAAAGCCCTTCCTAAAGTGTAGTCTGTACTCGTGAGAACATTTTTTTTATGTCTTTAAGGCATGGGCTTCCAGGAATCCCTTCAATTAGTCTACTGGGATCTTTTCCAACCAATCCGAGGGCTCCAACTACAACGGGGATTGTTGATGTTCCCATGAGCCACATTTTTGAGATTTCGATTTCAAGGTCCGTGTAATTTGATAGCTTTTTGAAGATCTTCAAAGATATTCTGCAGCGAGTGCCATATCAATAAGGAGGCAACCTTTTGGGGGTGTACGATATCTAATAACAATGTCTGGGCGGTTAGCTTTGATTGTTCTGATTATTTAATTTGTGTTCACATTTCCTTTCGGGTTTCAGCCAGAGACCTAAGGTCAGAAATGGCGTAATGACATTTTCACTAAATATTTAAAATATAAATAAAGATACCCCCTAACATCACACACGTTTTACACAGACAAAGCCCTTTGTAAGATGTGAGCTGTATCTATGAGTACAATTTTGTTGTATTTGTTTAAGGCATTGGCTATCAGGAAGACTGTCAATGAGTTTATCGGAACCTTCTCCAATAAACCGGTGTGGTGGGGGTGGGGGTAAAATACAACTAGAATTATTAATATTAATTTTGAAATTTCTTATTTCAAGATCCTTGTATTTTGATAGTTTTTTGAAGATCCTCAAAGACACATTACAGTCCGCAGCAACCGCCAATGTCATTGAGAAAACATTCTGTTTTTCTGATCTTTAATCTCGATGTCTGGGCGATTAGCTTTGATTGTAATGTTTGTGTACTTTTTTTTTTTTAAGCGTTTCACCCCAAGCATGGCAAGAAACCACTAGTACGCAAGGGGTCACAGACAATTGGAGTGAGACCAAATAGGAGTGATAGAGGAAAGGATAAAGAGAAGGATAGGCGATAGATCAAAGCATCTGGAGATGTCGATTGACATTAAATTTGAACAGTTAGAGATTAAATTTCATGGCTTCTTTCTTTCCTTTCCTCTTCCTCCTCCTCCTCCTACTTCTTATTCTTCTTCTCCCATGGAACCTCAGAGAAACAGGAAAAGGGAGTTTCACACGCGAGAGGTGCGAGATATGAAGCTATTGAAGTAGAAGAGACAGCTACATTTAACAGTTTCAACGGTGAACGGGTGTGAGCAAGATGCCAGCCTAGTTGATCGCTTAAATTCATGAAGTCTGGGAACCAGCGAAAGCAGCTTATTGGTGCAGTTACCATGAAAGTATTTGTAAAAAAAGACAGAGAGAGGCAACGGCACGTCTGTGAGAGAGCGACTGCAGACGAGATGCCAGATCAGGGCTAATTAAATTGCATATCCATATCTGGATTTTATCAAGGACCTTGAGACAAACAGAAGGAGCACCGGACCACATATGGCAGCAATACTCCAAAATTATTATTATTATTATTATTATTATTATTATTATTATTATTATTTATAATTTATTTATTGCCGATTTACATTTCCTGTGCATCTTCCCGACGTCCTTTTATTCATTTCTTTGTTTTCCTCTTTTTTACAATTCTTTTTTTTAGTTATGGTTTTCTCTCTCTGATGTTTCGTCGATTTCTTCTCTTCTTCATATTCTGGCACTTTCTACCATTCTTCCTCTTCACAAAGTTTTTCTTACAATCATTCATACATATCGTCTTCATCTTCTTCATGACCTCTGCCTGTTCACAGCTCTCTCTTCTGACCTTCCTTTTCTTCTTCTTTTTCTTCTTCTTCTTTTCTTGTTTTCTTCTTTTTCTTCTTGTTCTTCTTTTTTTTGTTCTTCTTCTTATTTTTCTTCTTCTTCTTCTTCTTTTTCTTCTTTTTCTTTTTCTTCTTTTTCTTCTCCTTTTTCTTGTCCTTGTTCTTCTTTTTCTTCTTCTTGTTCTTCCTATTCTTCTTTTTCTTCTTTTTCTTTTTCTTGCTCTTCTTCTTTTTCTTTTTCTTCTTTTTCTTTTTCTTCGTTTTTTTTTTCTTCTTTTTCATGTCTTTGTTCTTCTTGTTCTTCTTTTTTTTTTCTTCTTTTTTTTTTCTTCTTTTTCTTCTTCTCCTTTTTCTTGTCCTTGTTCTTCTTTTTCTTGTTCTTCTTTTCTTCTTCTTGTTCTTCTTTTTCTTGTTCTTCTTTTTCTTTTTCTTTTTCTTCTTTTCTTCTTCTGCTTCTTTTTCTTCTTCTCCTTTTTCTTGTCCTTGTTCTTCTTTTTCTTCTTCTTCTTCTTCTTCTTCTTCTTATTATTATTATTATTATTATTATTTTATTATTTACATACTTCTTCCAAAATTGTATCATCCTCTTCTTCACAGCATTTTTCCTTTGTTTTTGTCTTTTTTCCTTCTCTTGGCTTGAACTTATTCAAAGATGTTTTCTTCCTTCTTGGGTTTCATTATAAAGTTATTCTTTTCCTTTCTTCGCAGAATTATCCATTTTCCCCGCTATTCTTTCGATAAACTACGTCCAACAGCAAGGCCTCTGATCAGAATGTTTCGAAGAGCGTAGAACCACCTCTTAATTACTAGTGTTCCCAGGTCTACCTTGAACTGGGGTGGTAGCACCTGTTAAGGTTCCAGCTTTAGGCAAATAGTTAACCCGGAAATTGGGTTCAAAACACTATGAAAGTGTAAAAATAGGTTTTAATGCCAATAATACATTTTTGGAAAAAATTATTGGCTGCAATAGATTTTGGAAAAAAAATACTAGCAATATAGTTTTGAAGGAAAAATATTAATAACATGTTTGGAAAAAAAATATTACCATCAATACATTTAAAAAAAAAATATTACCATCAACACATTTTTTAAAAAATTATTACCAGCAATGCATTTTTGAAAAAATATTACCAGAAAAAAAAAAAAATATTACCAGCAATACATTTAAAAAAAAAATTACCATCAATAAAAAAAAAACTTATCTTGTCCAGCAATTTTAAAAAAAAAAATAACCCCTTGAGATAACCCCTTGTTATGCCGTTAAACATACCAAACGAAATCAAACCACTCTTCTTCCTCTTCTCCTACACCTCCTCTACCTTCGTTTTGCGTGTTTTCATCGGACAAGGAATTCGACGTGATTTTCCTGCAAAAAATGCTTTTCTAACGATTGCATCGTTCTTTTATAAGAGAATGCACATTTTTATCTGAAAGGCAACTCAACATATTTTGTGGCACCATGCATCCGGACGATTTGAAAGAAATATTTATAGATATATGATTTGCTTTTTTACGGTTTATCAACCATTTGATAATTATTTAAGGCCGAAAAATATTTTAGGTTTTAAGAATAATTCTTTCTTTGCATTCAAGCGATTTGGGAGAAAGAAAGAGAAAACGAAGAAGAAAGAAAACAAAAGTAATACGAGACAAGCCATAGGCGAACACACACACACACGGCTTAAGAGACGGAAAGGTGGAGGAAAAAGGTTATAGTTGATAGGTATCAGATGTCGAAAATATCTAGGTCACCTACGAACAAGCGTTGACCGATTTCCGCTTGTCCACGAAAAATGGAATTTTGTTATCAATTGGATGTCACCCAAAAGAAGAAATCCATTGTTGAACATTGACGAAACACAGACAGTCTTCCCTGTGTTAAAAAAAAATCCCACACAAGAAGTTTTCACTGGCTAAATTTTTCTTTCTTTTGACAGAATAAACGTTTGCCCTGTGATAATAAAGATTTTTGTTATCAACCCTTGGGCCGAAAGGAAAATGAAATGTATTTATTTTTGCTTTAGAAACGCCAGGTAGGCTAGGAAATTTTCTTTCTTAGATCATATCCAATTAGCGATAAACTGCTTGACGAACGCCACGTGTTAAAGCCGAGAGTGTCACATCGGCCGCTCATGATAAGGGCGATTTAATTAGTTTTTTTTAGTTAAGCAAGGTATTTCTTTCCCAAAACAAATCCACGGGTTATTCACGCCCGACTAAGACGTCATTGGCCAAGTGGATCACATGACGCACGAAGGAGGAGGAAAGATACCCGACCAGGACCTCATTCGCCGAGAGCGGTCACGTGACGCACGAAGAAAATCAGTCGACGCCTCTATCAGAGTGTAAGTGGGCGAAGCCGATACGAAGAAGTGGGGAAGTTAGTGCACGCCCCTCAGAAGCACAGTGAGAGTGGGAGTGAGAAAGGAGTTACCAAAAATGGAAAAGAGTGGAAAATCCCTAACCAGAAATAAGAAGGGTGGATATGTATTTAGAATTATCGAAGAACCTCTGGCTGACAGACCCACCCCAGTTTTGACGGCGTCAATAAAAGCCAGACCCCAACCGACAGAAATCAGTGCAGCCGCGGACAGCAGGCGG